ATAATCTTGTCATATTAATTTAATTTTTTTTTTTATTATTATTACGTATACAATTTAATGCATGCCAGATAGATCTAATAATAGTAACAGTAGTTCCGAGAGTTCTGATCTAGACGAAAACTACTTACCATCACGTCCGATTGACATAAGTCTGTTAGGATCCTCTAGGCCTGTTACTAGATTACTGATTAACCGTCAAAAAGAAAACGTAATACAAGAATCGAAAATAACAAATAAAAATTTTAATTCAAAATTGTTGATAGGTACAAAAGATAATATTCAAACTATAGAATCTAATAATACAATGGCACTACCTAGTTTGACCACATTATCCTTAGAGACTGCAATAAGGTTAATTCCACATTTCAATGGGGAGAATGTACAGGAAATATACCCATTTATAAACGCATGTAATTTTGTCATGCGAAATGTTGATGGAACCGTACAACCGGTACTCTTACAAGTTATAATTACTAAATTGTCAGGCAAGGCGTTCGCGATAACCCAGCATAAAGCAATGTACACATGGGAAATACTYAGAGATAATTTGGAAGGCACTTTCTGTGCTACACGCACACCCGGATATCTTCAGTTAGAGCTTACTACTAGTAAATTTCAACAAGGTGAAACGGTACGAGATTATACAACGAGAGTAGAAAAACTATTGCATGGACTTTGTAACGTAAGCACAAAGGATAAATCTGCTGGTGACACTAAAGCTATACATAGTTACATAAAAGAAACAACTTTAAGTACGTATATTGAAGGTTTACCATCTRCTATTCGAGGTGTAGTCAAACCTAAGAATCACTCAACGTTAGAAGAAGCCATAAAGGATAGTTTAGAAGAAGAGAATTTATCAATCAAATAAAGGAACACAACGTTTGTTGAATAACAAACCAAATAATATGAATATTAGTAAATATTGCAAATATTGCCAAAAAGCAAACCATAATACAAATTAGTGTAGATTTGGATACAACAATGTTGATACTGGACAGCAGAGTAAACAATCCAGAGAATTCAATAATCAAATAAATCAGGAGACTAAACAAGTATAGTGTATTTATTGCAAGAAAATTGGTCATACTATAGATGTATGCTATAAGAAGAAAAATGCAGATACAAGAAAATCAAATAATAATGATCAATCGAATTCGGTAAACGAAAAAGAACCGGCCAGAAAGGGCGTTTGTCCGGTTCKCGAATTGAAAATAATAGCCCAAAATTAAATATTCTAACATGCAAAATCAAACTAACAAACAATCATGCTACGTATCAAATACCACAATGTGTTAAAGGAATTGCCAATTTCCTCATAGATACAGGAGCAGATCTTCATATAATT